CGCCACCAACCGTATGTCATTTATCATATACCCAGTCCACTTGAGAGAATTGCATGCAAGTGAATACACAAGTTTTTCCCTCAGCCTAAAATCTCTATTTCTTTCACATGCTAATGAATATGGAAACGATATTTGAAATGGTAAAATTGATTTTAGCAAGAACATACAGGTCCTAATATGTAAATGGCTAGACAAAATTTGACCTTCTAATCTAACACGCAAACAATGCGAGCATAAACGGACGTTTAGTTGTCCCTTTAGCCAAAAACAAACATTTGTTTCTTAAACCAAGCACCTTAAGTATACTGAACATTCGTAAGCCTTTACAGCAGCCAAAGTCTTATCACACCATTTTTAGCAGAAATGTTTGGTCAAACAAACTATTCATCGGAATGGATGATGGTTTTGCAAAATCTGCATATGGCCATTGTACATGTGATCAGGGGATGGAAATCGGAAGGTCTACATGAGTATACAATGAGCACAAGTACAAATTCAGAAATGAAGTATAGTATTTATAGTGTACAACTTTCAGGTGCCCCTCGGTAAGTAGCATGGTGAATAAAAACCACACATTTGATCTCATTCATTGTGGCATACAGAAGGATGTGAGGACTACTTTGAATTCGTGACGGAAGTCGGAAGACGTCGCAAGCGATAGGATTAGTCAATTTAGTGTGGTAGCATGTGGTGGCAAAATAATTTGGGTCGCATGCCATTAAGTGCAAGCTGAATAAAATGAAACCCATTGGATGGGGTCTATCGGTTTGTAATTCGACGCGACAGCAATTATCCGATATCACAGCTTAGTGCAGTCTGCTTGAGTCCATGTCCAAGCGGGACCCTGAATCTGAGTCTAAACCAGAGCCTGAATCAGTGAGTTCACTTATGCGCTGAATAACGGATCAACCGTGTAGTTCAGGCTTTGAGTGATCTTAAGTACGCCTGCTGTGGTCCATCTCTGCTTCATATTGGCTATACTGGAGGGAGAGAGGAAGAGAATATTAGCTCAGCTCTCGCATCCCAGAGAGAGTACAAATTAGCAACTAGTTAAAGCTTCTACAAAATCAAACTGCAACGCCTGTTTGGGGTTGTAGACATTTGGACCACACTCGTGGTGGATAGTGGATTTAGGCTAGCACTGATAGGGCGAGGGGACAGGACGTCATTTTAGCCTAATATAAATTGTTGATTTAGTGATTTCGAAGGCGATGGTAGATATCTAGATCGTGGAATGAGAGTTGATGTGTTTATCACTACAGCTGAAGTA